TGACTACCAACTCATTTCCTAGTGTGGATGTTGTTTTCTTGAGGCAATCTTGATCATTATCAGTTTACTAAAAATCGCATCCATTTCATTTATTTTCAAATATTTTGCATGAAGTTTTTCATATTATTCTCATAACTTTTTATTTCTATCTGTAGATACGCTCTGATTTCTTTGCTAATATTGTATACTCATGCACTCTCTGTGAGATTTGCTGATTTCATTAGGCTTCTTAAAGATCTCATCATGATCATAAAAGTGAGGAAAATGAAAGCCTAAGAAGACAGAGTGGCTTGGAGAAGATCACACCCTATTTGGAAGTAGAGCCAGGTCTGCTGATACTTAAGCAATGAACTCTTCTGGACCTGCTGCCTTGCTCTAGTTTATAACCCTCATTCAACTTAATTCATGCAAAAGCAAACGCGGTTTTCATGTGATTATGTTTGGGCAGAACACGCCCCAATATGACACTGAGGTGAACAGGTGGGAACTGATGACTCATCAACCATCAGGACACCACACAAAGGGCTTATCTGAAGCCAGGTCCCAGTAGTTAATGAACAAAACCACAAGCCAAACATATTACAATTTGGTAACAGATGAAATTCAGCATTTCAAAGCCATACCCATGGAACATGAATGCCATGAGAAATATGATATTCATAATGTTGCCTTCTATTTGAAAGAAAGATATGCTCATGAAATTTCTAGATGTGCTTTTTAATCAGTGAATTGCTAGGTTTGAGATGTGTGTTTAACTCAGTGGACCCCATTTTTTCTTAAAACACTTTAATGTAAAGGAAAATATGATGAATTCACTGATATGACAGTGAAATATTTCCTTTGCAATGACAAGCAATAACTAATAATTAAGGAAAATGTTTCTCACTTCTTTCAGTAATTTGAAACTCTTTCCAGCAGGAAAATATTATCCATTAGAGCTCTCAATAGAAATTCTCACTGTGAGAAAATGACAATGCTATTTATTTAGTCTGAATGGAAAATATCCACAAAATTCTTTCTTTTACTTATCTACTGCATTCAATTTGACAATAGTGTTTATAAATACAAATGCTGTCTAATCTACAGATGTTAACATACTACTTTAATCTTGAAAATAGTAATACTCTTAGAAACCAGATTGCCTGAAGATAGTTGCATAATTTGACATTACCTGGTTTACTCAACATATCTGATTTCAAGCTGTTCCCATGCAAAATGGCCACAAAACTTGTTTCATGTTTCTGTAGTGGAGACTGCTGGCTGTCTATCCTGTATCTATTTTGTTCTTCTTACATAGCATCAGAACCTTCATTTCCTTTTAGGGCCACAGCTAAAACTGCATTGCCCAAACACATTCACAGGTAAGTTACGGCCATGTGATTATTTCTGGCCAATGTCATATAAGCCTACGAACATATATTAGATTGCCAAGAGATGTTTTTCAATGGTGTATTTTTCCCTCCTTTAATCCAATTTCTCTTTTTTTGCTTTTTTGCTGCTTTGAATCTTGTGATAGTTAGAGTTCCAGCAGCCACTTTGGAATACACCAATGCGTCTCAACGATAGGGATGCACTCTGAGAAATGAATCATTAGACGATTTTGTCATTGTGCGAACATGAGAGAGTATACTTACACAAACCTAGACAGTATAGCCTCCTACAATCTAGGCTGTATGGTACTGTCTTACGAGACCACTGTCATATATGCTGTCCGTCATTGACCAAAACGTTGTTACGCGGGGCATGACTGTATAAGGGAAATTCTAAAGACGGCAGAAATTCTAAAGACATCTATGGAACCACTATATCAGCTTCCGCCAGAGTAATAGGCAAATATCCATTGCCTATTGAATATTGTTGATTTTTTTTTTTTTTGGCTGTTCACTTTCTTTTTTTTTTTTTTTATTTTTTTTTGTTTTTTGTTTTTTGTTTATTGCAGTAACATTGGTTTATAACATTGTAAAAATTGTTGATTTGCTCTGATATTCTTTTACCCTCAAATGTTCTCCCAGTTCTCCATCTGTAAAGGCCCACCCAGGTGGTTAATTATCCCATAAAGTTGGCTCCCACACCCGTGGTCAAAGGGAACCACTCTGCGGCCCCAGAGCAGGGAGCGTTTATTGCCTCTAGATCTCACCTTCCTTCTCCACCTGATTGCATGCTTCTTAAGGACACAGCCTGCGGCTTTTACACCTGTTAGTCTACTACCCCCGTGTCTAGAGTACCTGCCATCTATTTATGTATATTGAAACAGCTCAATAATATAATTGAAAGAATGAATGTGTATGTGTGTGACAGTGTGTGACTGAAAGAGCTTTGAATTATTCAAGAGTGTGAAAGTGAACTGTAACATACCATAAACATACCTTTCCATCACTGAACTGAAATAATGCAACAGACCAAAGCAAAAGCCAAAGGTGAAAACATGGTAAACCAGTTTGGAAATTTAAAGTGTCTATATCCCCCATTTAGGTAGGAAAATTTGTGAGTAAGCTAAAGTATTCATGTCAGACTCATGAACACCAAATAGTGGGAAGAGGGTGTGTGTGCGGTATGCAGATTTTGTAAGATGTTTTGGAGTGATCATGTTGAGCTATTTTTTGGTTCAACATCCACTAAGCGAAGCTAACTATAACTTTAAGTCCCCTACGCTTTACTATGCTAAAAATATACTTCTTGTTTCCTTTTTATAAGCTTGATTTTGCATGAGGGCTTTAATACATCATCTGGTTAAATATCTGGGTAAAGACAAACTATATAATAAAAGCTAGATTTCTAGAAGTGGAATAATCACTATTATCTCCGTCTTATAAAGTACTCTGCTCAGAATGCTTTCCAAAGAAGGTAGTTTGTTTAAAAGTCTCAGTTGTGTGAACTTAAGCCCAAAGGTCTTAAGACAAATATTTAACTTTAGAGGCATAAAATATCTGCATGATTTATAAATGCAATGACATTTTCAACATTAACATAAGATTTGACCTTTTGTGTCCAGTCTTCTGGGATATGGTGTTTTAGCATATTGAACAATAAACAGAAAGAACAAAGAAACTCAAAGGCATACCTGAAGCATAAACTTCAAGAAATCAGCAGCTCAAAGACAGAAAAGAATCCCTAAGAGCAGAACAGAGGAGAGTAAAACTCAATTAAATTTTAACATTTAAGCTTTTAAAAGATCTAGAGTAGTTGCATTTCCTCCTTCTCTAAATTAAATCAGGTCCCTAAAGATGCAAGGAAATAGACTGGCAAAAACACAGTTACATTCCAAGAATCAGGTTAAATTAAAGCACATCTCTTATTCACTGCAGTATAAATATGTTCTTGTTTCACAAATTTTATTTACTGATTCAACAACAACAATAACAAAAGATTACATCTTCCATTTTGACAATGAGATATGCTAAAATTGGGAGGGAAAATCATAAAATCCTAAGTTGTAACTTCTTTAAGAAAGCATAATTCATGTGATTCATGCAAATCAAAATCATTCAATCAAAACTACCTACGATTGGCTTAATCCTTAACATTTAAAAATATCTCTAGTATAGAATGATATTCAGGAAAGACAGATTTTAATGAAATCTTGCTTTAGTAAAGAAATGTCATGAGAAAGTGTTTTCCTTTGATCAAACGCTACTATTACTCAAAAACTTAATCAGATAAAGTTAAATTTTAAAAAGAAATTAATGTGGTCCTCCATTGAGGTTTTAGAAAAATGTTATTAAAAGAAGGTTGAGAAATATCTCAACTCAGAAATATCTGAATGGAAACTATTTTCGGTAATAGATACGTTGATTTTACACATTTCACTAACTATAAGGTATAAAATGTCAGGTTTATATAGCCTTTTAGAGCCACATCTCAGCACTTTATATATGAAAACATACTTTGAGAGCAATAATTCTGGGAATGAAATAATTTTTAGAAAATTTAAAAATGTTTGAAAATTCACATTTATTTACTACATATTGTGCTAATTTGGCTTGTATAACTAGAAGGTAACTAGATAGCTCCTTAGGTCATTGGTTCTCAAGCTAAAATGTGCATCAGAATACCAGGAGGGCTTGTTTAAAGCAGATTTCAGGGCTGCTGTCCCAGAGTTTCAGATTCACTAGGCCTGGGGTGGGGCCTGAGAATTTGCATTTCTCACAAGCTCCCAAGAGATGCTGATGCAGCTAATATGGGGACCACCACACTTTGAAAGCCACTGGCTTAGAATAATTAAAAAAAATAATAATAATTATTAATCCAAATTAAGGAAAAGAACATACATCCACATTATATTTCTTTCTATACTCTCCTAAATTTATAATCTGTGAAACTCTGGTAAAACTTTTATAAATGATTCAGAGGGCCCAGGTCAATTTATTTAATTTGGTTAAAGGGTTGACTAAAAGCTCCTTAATTTAAATATTTTTATAAAAGCATCTTTTGTATAAAACAATGGTAATTTTTTCATGTCATACCATAAAATCTCATCCAATATTAGGAAAAGTTTGCATTTAAACCATTAAATTTTTATATAGATAAATGTAAGCATATCTAGTAAAAAGACGACAAAAATAGACAACAGTTCTAGGAACTATTTCCTAAACAAATAAATTAGGAAAGATTTTAGTTTTGGGGACTTTGGTTTCCTTAAAAGTAAAATGAAATGTTTGGAATGGACAATGTCCGACAGCCTTTCCAGCTCCAAAACGTCTCAGTTTGAACTCTGTGGATTCACTCACGCCTGTGTCACAAAGAAGCTGGCCCCACCTCAGCTTGGCAGAGAGAGTAACCTGATGGAGGAACTCCCCAAACGTCTGCAGAAAGAATGACCTTTCAGTTTGCTGGTTATTAATTAACAAAGAGTTTCAAAATAGAAAATGACGGAAAGAATGAAATTTGACTGCCTGGAGCGTGTCTTCCCGCTCTTCTGCTGCACACTCACTCCTGTGATCTTTGAGTATTAATTGTAACAAAAGACAATGTTTTATTCCATTTAAAAACATCTTTGGTTCTTAGATTGGCAAGTGATGCGGCTGGTGACAGTCAGTGGATGGATCGGAAGTAGACGGCGGAGTTTGCTGCTGCTCAGTAGCAAAATTAATAAACACCTGAAAGAAATGATGAAAATAATTGTCAACTTATAAGAACACTCGACTTTTTGTTCTCCACTACTATAAGGAGGAACATCCTCTCAAAGACTGCCCAACTTTTCCTAAAAACCACAGATCATTCATTCATATCACCCCCTCTGAAATCACCATAAATAGTTAAGTCCATTGAGACCAAACTCCAGGAATGATAAACATTTCTGGACAATTAATAAATCACCTGGCAATTCTCCAGGTGAGCTTAAGCATGGCTTTAGAATGAAGTCGTGATTTAATTTTATATTCTGGTACTCTTAGTAAACCAAACACTTTTTTCCCAAAGTTAGCTATCACTCAGTTACAGTGGAGGCCCCTTAGTCATTTAGGGGGTAGGTAAAGTGGTGAAGGGAAGGTTAATGGGGCACGATTTTCCTACTGAATGCCCAATGTGATTATGAACAAAGGGAAGTCCTGCTGAGTACATACCTTAGTGGAGAGTAGACAATAAACAAACCTCCTAACACTCATCATCCTTATGAGAATTTTATAAAATCACACAGCAATTAATTAAAAGGAATGATGACCTCAAAAAGTAATCTGGCTAATTTTTAAATCAGCAGGGTTAGGCCCCAAGAACATACCAAAATGCAACCTGGTGAGTCCTTCAAGGTACTATACCTGTTCCAGAGTGGTTTGGTTAATGGAGTAATATTTGATATTCAAGAAGGTCTTATTATTCTCTAGAACTTTGAACAAGTCAGCTAAGCATTCCCATCCTTTTGGCACATGATATTCCAATAAATTAAGGCGCTGCCCCTAAAAGCCCAAAAGAAAAATTGTATCACATGATTAGAAATCATTAAACAAAACTGATCATACTATATTTACTTGCCAAATAAGTTATCTTTTTTCAAATCCCACATTGAAATACCAGCTAGGTGTGGGGGTCAGTTTTGTTAGTCTCCAATGAATGCTTATCGATGACAATTACCGTGAGGCATATTTGGTCAGTGGTATTCCCCTGGGTTGAGGTGCTGTTCTGCTCTTTTTCACCCCCACCTTGCCACAAGCATAGGCAAGACCTCTCTAAGGGATAAGAAGATGCCTAGCAATAGTTGAGAAGTAGGAAGTTAATGTGGCATAACAGAGACATGTGGAGGCACTCTGAACTTCACTGGGACTTAAGTTTAATTCCAAGTTGCCTTCACCACTATCTGAGCACTCTTGGTAAAATATTCAACCACTCTGAGCCTCATTTTCATATGTGCAAATGGAGACAACAGTAACTGCTTTATAGGGTCATTTAGAGTGGGACTTGAGCATGAATGCTTGTGTCTTGCACAGCATGCTTCTTACCTGGTAGGATTTTACTCAATGGTTTTTGTTGAAACCATAGATAGGGAATAGCTAGTTTATAGGCTACCACCTATTAGAAGTTATGATAAACTAGGATCACACAGTCATCCAAGAGAATTGTAGACGGTGCTCCCCAAATGTTAATGTGCATAGATATCACCTGGTCACCTTCTTAAAATGCAGATTTAGATTCAGTAGCCCGGGGACTGAGATTCTGCAGGTCTAACCAGCTCCCAGGTGATGAAGATGCTGCTGGTTCAGGGGTCACACTTTGCATCAAGTTTGTAGAGGATTACCATCCCAAGCACAGGACACTTCTTGTGAAATAATGCTGAAACCATTAAGCCTATAACCCCGCAGCAAACACATGGAAGAAGATAATTTTTACAATCTTCCATCCTAAACAAAAATGAGCTGTGCAATGGAGTTGTGCCCACAGATAAGGGGGGGATGAGTAACTACAGTCTGCCCTGGGCGACCCAATAAGTGGACAAGCAGACGTGTCCTTCACAGTGGTCAGGCAATATCCGCTGTCCATGCTATTTTTGGTGGGGAGGAGTGACCTATACTTTGCAATGAGGCCAAGACAATGGGCAGTATCTTATGACAGCAAAGAATTAAAACAGGAAAAAACACAAGTGCATTTATGAGACTTTTTTAGCTGAAAATAAAGAAGTAATGCAAAATATTAGCACTACCTTAAACTGGATTCCTGGAAAATAGAGCTTCAAGCAGTCAGAAATAGCGCCGTGTTGATTGGTTTCCTTACAGAGCCAAACCTTGACTGTATAACCATCACCAAACCTGAGAGTTGAATGAAATAAAAATATGGTTACTATTATACGGACCCTAACAGGTAAATTCTAATTTCATTTTCACAGGGAGGCAGTAAAAGAAATCCAAATCATTGGGAGACTTTGGATTCTCAGAAATATAATACTCAGAAATTAATTATAACTCAATTAAGCTGTTTGCTATAATTCATAGACACATACACTGATTTATCTTAAAAAAAAAAAATCAGCATATCCTGGAATCAACATCTATTTGATAAAAGAGGGCAGGTGAAAATGCAAACCGTGGAAGCAAAGTGCTGGGTTACAGAAGTCAGAGCTGGGCTGGAGACTAACCCTGAGAAGCATTACTGCTTCAAGGTCTGTAATGATTAAAGTGTGGCTGGGAAAGGATGAAAGGGAATACATGAGTAATTTAGCCAGACATTCATTTGTTTATCACGTAAAACAATTCTCCCAACTGTACTTCAACCCAGCAGGTCCAGTGACTGCAGGGGAAGCTGTTGGCCCGAGAGGCACTGTTCCTAACATTGCAGTTGTAGATGGTAGCTCCACTGGTGTCTGAGCAATGTGAGGTTATATTCACACCATAGAGCAATCTCAAATAGTAACTTCCAAGAATTTGTGAGGCTTCCAAAAACTTTTTATGTTTGTTATTCTACTGCATATCCCAGGTGCTTAGCATGGTGTTGGGCACATGACAGCACCTCAATAAAGTTCTGTTGAATAAAAACAAATACATAAACGGATCATGACGACAGCAATTTTTGTTGGTTTTGTTCACTGATCTATCTACCCCAAGTACCTAGAACTAGTAAGTATTAGTTGAATGAATGAATGAATGAATGGTATGCCCAGAGCCTTACAACCACCTTCATTAACAAACTATTGCTGAGAAAAATGTGTTACATTCAAGTAAACTTTCCCTAAGTAAGTTGACCCTAATAGGTTTATGGTCAAATCATTTTTCAGGTGAATCTACCTGGTGAAAAAGAGGGCCCAATATAATGAGACCTTGTTTCAGTGACATGGATCACCCTTGCAAACACTTCCTGAAATCCTAGTCTGGGTCCCATTTTCCTGCCTTCTGCCCTGATTTCACATCCCCTGAGATCTGTGTGTGGCCCCAACTGCCTCCCATCATTTAGAGTTGATGGTTTCGAATTGATTCATGGCTGAGAGGTTGTTGAGGAAATTGACAAAACATAAATGAAAGCAGACAGAGAAGCACCTCCCTAGTGCTTCTGCTCAGTCATCTCTAAGAATTTCTGAAGGCCACCGAGTGGGTCAGCCCAGGAGGTATGTGTTTTGGTCACTCCTCTTCTGCTCAGGAGGATGTGTCCGACACTGTGCTGCTGACTAACAAGGGTCACTAACTCCATCTTCACCAAATTCCCCCAAATGGGTATGTGTTTCATGTCTCACGTGGGGAAGAGACTGAGGCCCAGACAGCTGAAGGGGCTTCCCACGGTGAGGCACATGTGTGCAGTGTGAGCTACCTCTCCTCAGAGAGCTCTCAGCTGCGTCTGTTCATAAAGTTGGACATCCTGGGTGGGTGTTTCAGGAGGGAGATACATTTCTGGTCTGGTGGTTGTTATGGTTCTGAGGGCGTGGCATAATGCAGTGTTTGTGCTACGGACTCTGGATCCACATGGACCATCTGGGTTTGAATCCAGCTCCTCCCTCCATGCACTAGATGTGTGATCCTGGGGACTGAACTTTTCTCACCTCTGTTGCCTCATCTAGGAAATGGGCTAATAATACCAGCTGCCTGATACGAGTGTTAGAAAACTGAATGAATTAATCCTTGCAAATCACTTGGGACAGCATCGGGCATGAGTAAATAAACAAACACACAGTGAAATTTAGGTTCTGCACAGGATGTGACCAAAATGGAAGAACGCTTTCTTCGGTGTGAAGAAGCTCCCAATTTATTTGGGGAACTTAGATAAAAGCAGATGAAACAATTAGAACATGAATCTGAAGCACTTACTACATAAAAATACAGTGGTGTGGGGCAACACTAAGCAGACATATGACCTCACTCTTCTACGGACATTAGGATCCACTTTCACCACTAACAAAACTGCAACCCTATGGGCATATTTTGCTAATGTATTTTGAAAAACTCATGCTAAACTCCAATAACTGTCTAATAAATTCTCACCATAAGTAGGTATATATATTAATATTTAAATTATTTTAAAATGAAGTTTTATTTGAACTAAGCCACTTCCAGCTTTACTCTAGAGAATTTAAATTATACAGTTCTTTAAAAAAAAAAAAAAAAAAAGTTTTATTTGAACTAAGCCACTTCCAGCTTTACTCTAGAGAATTTAAATTATACAGTTCTTTAAAAAAAAAAAAAAAAAAACTGAACAGAAAATCTTCCTGAAACAGGTTGGCAAATTTCTCAAGATCTTTCTAGAATAGTCAATAAGACCTCTGGACAGAAAACTCTAAAAGCATGGCATCTTCAGTAACTAAGAGAATCTTTGTAGATTATCAAATTTGTTTATAATGCAAGTATCTTATTTATATTAGCTTTATTTTCTCATTTCTGCCTATAACCTATACATTTACGTCAATGATCTAAATTCTACAAAGGATTTATTTGATTTGTATACTTTCCACAATCTAAAAGCTTTCAAAGAAGCCAAGAATCATTCGTTTATATATTCATTCACTGGTCTAACATTTCTAGATAACTCATTATGTCCACATCATTTGCATAGGCAGTGATCACATAATGATAAATAAATAGCATTATCTGCCGGTAAAGGTACCTATAAGAAAAATTCAACCACTGTTTCTGATACATTTTGGTACCACAAACATTAAATGTGAAATATGTAATAAATGTGAAAATAGAAGAACAAGCAATGTAATAGTGGAATAATAAACATACACGCATATATTTTAAAAGCCAGACATCTCCAGAGTACAGTGAGAGAGTGATGAGGGGTTAGCCGAGTGAGGGATAGAAAGCAAACGCTTATGTGAGCCCTTGACTGATGTGCAGCTGGCAGCCCTGTAGTAGGAACTTCCTCTTGTCATCTCAGTCCTCACAGTGACCCTACCAATGGAGGAGGAAACCAAGAGAGCAAACTGAGCAAATTAGTACTATCGGGGAGGCACTGAGCACACAGTACCCCATTTAATCCCCAGAGATTTCAATGTTGCTGCTTCTGTCTCTATTTTGCAGGGAAGAAACAGAGGAGGTCAGGTAACTTGCTCAAGGTCACGCAACTCAGAGAGAATGGAGGGGGGCGCAGGCTCAACACTGGTCTGTGGAGGTCAAACTCCAGCGTGTAGCAGGATCTTGCCTAATGGTCCACGCTCACGGCATTCTTTAAGGCTTTCACATCAAGCAGCTCATTTTACTCATACAACCACCTTGTGCACAGAATAGAACAGATGGCGTTTCTTCTTTATAAAATGTAAAACTGTGATGTCTAAAGAGGTCTAGAGATTTTTCACTGTCACTCAGCTTATGATTGGCAGAGATGGGATAAACCTGGCCTTCTTACTCCAAAACCATGTCTCTTCATCTCAAGAGTCCTTTATTATTTCAACTTCAGTTAAGTTTGGTTCGGAAAACTTTCTAATCATTGCATATGCAAATCAGAATGGCTGGGAGGATTATGGATTGAAGATATTAACATAAAGAGAGCCTCTGACAAACAACAAATAAAAGCAGCATTTGGCAACTGGCACCAGCATTCCTCCTGAGGAAGACACTGCCTTTGAAAAAAACCTCCATGAGCTTCTAAGTTTAAAGGCAAGATCTCAGCGGGTTGATGATACAGCATCACAATAAAGAGAAGCTTGATCCATATCAATACACCTCTCTCCATGACGATTCCTCTCTTTGGCCAAGATATCACTTTCTTTTTCTTTTTTTTTTTTTTTTTTTTTTAATTTTATTTATTTATTTTTTATTTTTTATTTTTTTTAATTTATGTTTATCGCAGTAACATTGGTGTATAACATTGTAAAAATTTCAGGTGTACATCATTGTACTTCTATTTCTGCATAGATTACATCACATTCACCACCAAAATACTAATTACAACCCATCACCACACACATGTACCGAATTATCCCTTTCACCCTCCTCCCTCCCCCCTTCCCCTCTGGTAACCACCAATCCAACCTCTGTCCCTATGTGTTTGTTTATTGTTGTTATTATCTACTACTTAATGAAGGAAATCATAGGGTATTTGACCTTCTCCCTCTGACTTATCACTTTCTTAAATGACTCTGCTAGCCACAGATCCAGAATTCAGAGTGTGGGTCAAAGCTGTCACTAGGAAAGGCCAACAGGACTGTCTCAGAACTTAGGAGACCACGCTAGCTTCAAAACTAGATGACTTCCATCCAGAGTCAAACTCCTTAGCTCAGTCCACCAGGCTCTCCATGATCTGAAGAGGCCTCTATGACCTCTCTTCAGTCTGCCCTCACCAGATTTCCTTTCCTCCACTCGTTTGACACATTTATTTAGTGTTCAGTGTGCAATGCCCTATTCTGGGTATGGAGGCCTTTGCCTCAGAAGCTCTTGAGGAATGGGGATAACTTTTCCTTGTGCATCCAAGTGTGTGTAGCATCCTTCTATAGTATCAGCTATTACAGTAGAGCCACTTGACAGCAAGACTCCTAGACTCTTCTGCTGGAGCCCAGTTCATATTTGAGAAATTAATGAATGGATTAAATTCCTTGTTAGAGTTTGAAGTAATGGAAACAATATTTCTTTCCTAACTGAACAGCAATATGTACTGAATATTTCTATAATTTTCCTTTCCTTTTGGAATAATTGAAAAGGACCATTTTAAAGCATGGTGCAATAGCCAAGTTAGCAGGATAGAAAGACAGGTGCCCTCATCTCCAGCACTATACTATTTTCACCCACCAAACAAGCACCAGAGACCATTTTTTTCTGGGTGTTGGGATTATAGCTATAAGATACAGTCCCTCATGCAGCCCCTTGTGTTTTTTCACGATCTCTGAACA